TGACAATGACACAGGCCACCTGGTTTTCATATCATGAATACATTTGGTTTACCCATACCGTACAAATTAGACAATGTCACAACCGCCTTACACAGACCCAATTTTTACATTAGTGCAGATCTGGAGCCGTCAATGACAGGTGTTTGAGAAAGTTTTTATGACTGGAAAGACCAGGCCTTTTGGGTGTGCTCATAGAATTCATTATGTATCTAATTATGAGCAACTAGGCTTATTTTGTATTACTTCATTTAAAGGGATGGAGTGCTAGCACAGCAGGTAGGGCATTTGCCTTGCATGCAGCCGACCCGGCCGACCCGAATTCGATTCCACCACCCTTCTCAGAGAGCCCGGAAAGCTACCCTAAGTATCTCATCCGCATGGCAAAGCCTAGCAAGCTACCTGTGACATATTCGATATGCCAACAATGGTAAAAACAAGTCTGACAATGGAGACATTACTGGGCCCACACAAGCAAATCGATGAACAATGGGAGGACAGTGCTACAGTGCTACAGTGCATTTTATAGCATACGTAATCTAATATATTTTAATCACTCACTTTAGTGGTGCTGAGAAAAAGGTCACTGTCGGGAGGACAGTTGTTCATCGATTTGCTTGAGCAAGCCCAGTAACATCTCCATTGGAGACTTTGTTGTTACTGTGTTTGGCATACCGAATACATCACGGGTAGTTGCCAGGCTCTGCCATGCAGGCGAGATACTCTCGGTAGCTTGCTGGGCTCTCAGAGAGGGGTGGAGGAATCGAACTCGGGTTGGCCATGTTGGCTGCATGCAAGGCAAACGCCCTACAGCTGTGCTATTGCTCCAGCCCGTAAATATAAAATATATAAAGATATCATAAAATTTAGGAGGTATTAAAATGGTTCGTACTATTGCAAAACCTGTATTTCTTTTTGAAAGTTTCCCTCAAATTATTGAGCAAACCTGCCATAGCTCACTAACAAGCTTAGGAGCCACATTTTTCCAATATTCCTGAATCCCAAATTGACCTTGTAAAAACACAGGCAAATTTTTTCCTGAAAAATATAGACAGGTTTTATAAGATATTATAGGAGGCCCAGAGCAATAGTACAGTGGATAGGACACTTTCCTTGCTTGCAGCAGACCCGGGTTCAATCGCTGGCACTTTATGGTCACTTTGAGCATCCAACAACAGAGATCCCATGTCAGGAACAGATCAGTAAGTCCAGAGCACCACAGGGTATGGCCACAAAACAAATCAAAAAAAGAGGGGGAAGGGGCGGAGGCTCTAATATATTTAATAGTAACTATATTAGTAGAACTGAAGACTTGTTGTTTTGCTCTATTTTACATAAAATGTGGTTCTAAGGATAGTTTTGATGATAATTTTTTAAAAATACCAATGATAGATAGGTTTAAATGATGTCAATTCTAGTTGTCATATGTTGAAAGTGTCTCTAAAATGCCAGATATTTCTTGGGGGCCAGAGAGATAGCGTAGTGGGTAGGGCACTTGCCTTGCACCCAGCTGACACAAACATTCCATAGGTTCCCCAAACACTGTCAGGAGCAACTCCTGAATGCAAAACCAGGAGTAAGAATCTCTGGGTGTGACCCACAAACAAACCAATGAATAAATGAATAATCAATCAATAAAATGCCAGATGTTTGAATGAGAAAGTTAGGCTCTGGGATCATTCTTTCTGGGTTGATACTGACACAAGCCGCAATGCCTGCAAGAGGCTTGAGCAACAGTTCTGCTGGAAAATGGTGCTGACCCCAGGGTGGCAGACAACAGTGCGAGACTGTTCTCCACTAGATGCCCTGGATCCAATCACATAAATAGAAGCAAAGTTTCTTTCTTATCATGCAGGCTATTGCTGCGTGGGTGACAGCTCTCCCAAACTGGCTGTGGGGGAGATGGGAAGACAGTGAAACAATAGTGAGAGATATCAGCAACTCTTGGTGAAATTCAGAGAAATTGGAAACCTCACACATTGAAGATAGACAAGTAAGCCAGTGCAACTTCTGGAAATATACATCTGACTGCGTTATGTCCCAGGAAGGGAGTTTCACTCCCACATTGACCAGACCAGACGTGAGGATACAAATGCAAGGCCCCTTTATTGCTAGCTTGAGCAAGGGTTCAAGTCTCATCCAATGCCGTGGAGTCTTGACAAAGACCCTGGCCCAAGTTGCAGGAAACATTATATAGCATTTTGTTACATAAGCAATGTTTGGCAGTATCCCCAAGAATTGAGGTGAAGCAATCACAAGACTGTGAGTTAATTGGTTATGCCCACCTGCTGTGCCCAGAGATATCCTACTTATCACAGGATTGGCTAGAGGCTTCTAGGGGATTTCCAGTCTCTGCAAGGACAGTCTCAGGGAATTCTTTAGGAGGAGGGGGGAGGGGAAACAGATATTTAGGTCTACTGCTTGTTTTGCTGAAGTACGGCCTGTCATGGCATCTATGAGGTGCTTTTCAGCCTCACAACTGCTCTGATCATCTAGAATGTTACCAATTGGCTTGACCATTCTACCTCTTGAGATGAAAACTAACATTGGAATAAATAAAAACTAGTAAACCAATGCTCCTGCAACCCTTTGCATGAGAGCAAACAGATTATCAAATAGCAGAAAAGAGCACCTTCAGCTGAAAAATCAACAAAATGTGGTATGTTCACATACTGAAATATAATTCAGCAAAGATTCTTGGATATTTACTATGCTTAGTCCAACTTACCAGCTGGAAAAGACAAATACTTTATCAATTTTCCAATATGTGAAATGGAACCCTGAATAGGGAATAAACCATCATTACAGAAAATCTTTAGATTTTGAGACAGTTTGGGGTTAGCTGGGGGGAAGGGTAGGGGCATTGAGCAGTGTGGAAGCCGCTGATTTGGTGTAGATAGATGGAAACGAGATGTGAGGTGACAGATATAGACAGTGTATACTGAAAAGTATACTGACAGTGTATACTGACAGTGTACACTAGCATGCGACAGGGACAAATGGAGACGTTACTGGCGCCCGCTCGAGCAAATCGACAATTAACGGGAAGTCAAGTGATAAAGTGATACTGAAAGGAGGAGTGAAACTTATGAAGGTTGTAATCTGGTGTGAACTTGGTAGCAGAATAAACTAATGTCCTATGTCACATCATGCATGGGCCAAGAAGTATTGTGTAATAAAAATGTAAATAAAGTAAAGGAGTTGCAAATACCAATTTTTTCAGAATCTATCAATGTGAAATATCCAGAACAGAAAATTCATGAGGTTTAAACATGGATTAGTGATTTTCTTGGAGTGAGTAGGGTGAGGTAGGATGAGAAGAATCACTAAAGGGTTTGAACTTTCTTTCCAGAATGTTGGAGTACAAGGAGCTTAGGTTTATCAGATTGCACCCATCACAGTGCTCCCGAGTCATTCCCATTACTTTGTCTGTAACCACTTCTATGCTCTCTTCCCCAACCAATTTTAAGGACTCATCCTTCTTAGACACTGAAGCTGTACTGTAAGTTAATATTCCCTTTCTCCTCTCCTTATGTCTTTTGACCAACATATAAACATACATAATATAAATCATTTTGTATGGACACAGTAAGAAATACTTTGAGCTTAGTGCAATGTCCTTTTAGTGCAATGTCCTTTTTGTATAGATACAGGAAGACAATTAATGTTATGCTTTATAACTTAGGATTTAATTGACCTTGAATATTATTCACTCCTGGGCATCTGCTTTCTCAACTTAAGCCTCAGTTGCCCTCACTTCCTAGCACCCCAAAAGCAGGGTCCGGACGTGGGACTGGATGGAACCAGTGCAAGCCGGTAAGTTATGTGCTACCCTGGCATCGAGATGGGCCAGGCCAAGGTGCCACAATTCTTAACTATAAGTTAAGAGTTTGATCATAGGCAAATGCTGTCATGATCCAAAAGTAACGATGAGACTAGGACCCTGCTGCTAAGAATAGGAAAGATATCTGGCCTGAGCACTGCAGTCTGAGATTGAGATGGCCCTGGGAGAGCAATTCTATAAGCTCAAAGTATTTCTTACTGTGTCCATACAAAATGATTTATATTATGTATGTTTATATGTTGGTCGGACACGGAGAGGAGAAACACACCAAGGGAATTCTGTTCTAGTGTGAGTTGATCTGCAAAATGAGAATCTGTCCTAGAAGTAGTTTTCCTGTGTGTCCTGACTAGCTTGGATGAGACTGAACTTTCTCCCCTTCAAACTGCCTTCAGTAAATGATTTCAGTATATAGAGGCTGTTTCCCTTATCTCACAGGAACCTAGCTGGTCTTAGGTGTGCATGATCCCAGGTGCTAAACCAGGCCTGATCTTTGGGATGTAGATGCCTGGCTCCAGGCAGGCTGATCTTGGAGATGTAGGCTCCAAGCTCTAGCAGACTGGTCTTTGATGTGTTAATCCAAGTAGCTTGTCAAAGGTGAGGCCAAGATTACTGGCCTGCTGATGTAAAGAAACACTGTAGATGTAAAGAAACTGTATGTTTTGCTGCCTCAATGTTCTTTCGAAACTCCTTTTGATGACATCACTATATCGGCCCTTTAGAGGTACCATGATGTATATAAGGGGATTTTCGGGGCTCTCTGGGGGTGCTCTCTGGGTGCATGTGCTTGAGGACACCTGAGGCCTCCATGACATACATTTCTTGCATGTAATAAACTGCTGCTTAGACCAACCAGCTTGGCCCTCGTTTCCTTCCTTCGCCTGACCATCTCCATTGACCTCCCTGGAGTGGGGAAACGGCCTGAGACTACCGAACAAGGGCGGCAGGAGAGATAGACTGCTGCCGCCCCCTTGCCCGCTCTTTTGTGTGTTTACACACCAGAATGATGGGATATTGAAAAATTAGGTTTTGGTGTTGACTATGCTAGTCTGTCAATTCATGAAGCACAATTGAGCTGGACACTGTAAGAGTGTTTAAACATGATTAATAAAGGTAACATCTTGACATAGCTATTAAGCACACCCAGTCTGAGAAGGAGCCATCACTGACCCTGTTCAGTGGCTTTGTGCTCAGACACACTCAGAAAGTACAGGCTCCACAGCTCTGTTTCCTGTTTGGCACAGGCTGACACGTGGAGATCATTAAGACCATGCCTAGGTTTTTGTCTCACTTCTCCTTGAGTCTGAAGCACTGTGACATTGCTGATACTTTTGTCCCATGCAGAACAATAATAATCAGCCTCATCCTCAGGCTGCACGCCTGAGATGGTCAGAGTGGCCTTGTTTCCAGATGAAGAACCAGTGAACCTAGCTGGAATCCCTGTAGGTCGAGTACTTTCAATCATCACAGTTTTGGGGGCAGCACCAGGTATCTGCTGGTACCAGCCTGTTCTAGAATAACCGACATTGTTGCTGTTTCCAGTGCAGGAGAGGGTGACTGTCTGTCCCACAGACCCTGACACTGAGACTTCCTGCGTCAGTCCAGTCTGTGCCCAGGAGCCTGGAATGGAACATGGGAGACACAGAGATGAGTCAGTTACTAGCCACCGCCTGTTCTCAAAACAAAGCATTTTCCCACCACTGCACCCCTCAACCCAGAGCATGGTCTCCAGCATAATCATTTCCCCAAGTTCCCACTGTCAGTCACCTGGGTACTGAGTTAGCAGGAAGAGGAGGAGGACAGGAGGCCAGGCCATTGCAGAGACACCCTGGACTTGGATTTGGAGCTCACAAGGGAGACAACTGCACAAAGTCCCTCTTATCTTCATCCCCTGATGGAAGAGCAGAAAGGAGCCCTTTATGCAAATCACCCCCTACCCCATCTGCCCCTGGGCCTACATTTGGTGAAAGCTGAGGTGGAGGTGGAGCTGGGGCATCCTCCAGGGTTCTAGAGGTCACAGTTTGTAATCCCCAGGGCATGCAGAGCCCCAGGTGACTGTTTGAGACTGAGTTCCCTCTGCAGGCTCAGGAACAAGCCCACAGCGCCACCTGCCGAGTCAGAAGATCACCACAGAGATCACACAATGTGCCAGCACTAACCTAATTGTCAGCTGTCCACAGACAGCTGACCACAACAGCTCCTAAACTGAATCAAAGTAGCAGATTCTAAAGTTTCTAAACATCCGTATTCAGTAGGTTATTATGCTCATAGGGCAGGATCTATATCAACCTCTGAGTGCCATGTGAAGTGTCATGCCTAAAGCATTCTAGGAAACGTTATTAAGCTTGTTGAAGGTACTCAGCTTCATTGGTGCATCCTCAACCATCCCCTGAACCTGATAAACATTGGGGATGGCTAGTCCACAGAATAGATTTAAGGTTTTTCTCCTGGAGTGGTGTCCACTCCTAAAATGAACCCTTTCTCACAATTTACTGGGCTTTGAGATCAAGCAGGGACACTTGACACAAGAGTCAGAAGGTGTCCAGAAAACAAATGTGGGCAAGCCCGGATCCCTGTATTGGTGCCTGACATCTCAGGGTAATTTAGAATCACCAAGGAGTCACAATGTGTTTTCCTTGTAAACTTGTTTTTCCACTTCAATTCCCTTGTATGATGGTTGTCCTTTTGGCAGTAACTGGGAGGCGCATTCTTTACTATGATACTAGACTTTGGGTATGTCAATTATCATGTAGAATGAAAACTATGTCTTTGGAGCATTTAGAATTAGTTGAATGTATTTATTTTTACTGAGATTCTCTGTTTTCCAATGCTGTTAATAATAGTTTCACCTGTGCATAATTCAAATACCACACTCATTACTAATATCACCCTCTCTCTACACCACAAACAATATCATCCATCCCCTTCAGCCCCATGCCATTGCCACCAACTCAATTGTTCTCCCATTATATTTCCTTTGAACATTTGCTTCTACTTGCTGAGCATCTTTAAGTTCGACATATGATACAGAGAGCATTCTGTGTCTCCCTCCTTCTATTTGACTTCACTCAGCATGATATCCTCTAGTTATATCTATTTTATATAATTTTTGGAGGCTGAAAATTACATGATTTTGACATTTGTTTGAACTGCATATTAGTCCATTTTGTATATATACCATAATTTATTAATCCATTCACACAAAGTTGGGAAGTTAGGTTGTTTTCTCACTTTGGCTATTGCATTAAGAGTGACAATAAACTCTGGTGTGCATATTTCCTTTGGGATTAATGTTTCTGTATTTTGCAGATAGATTCCAAGGAGTATATCATAGAGTGTATCTATATCAGTATATCATAGGGTTGTTCTATGCTTATTTTCGATAGATCGACATATTAGTTTCCACAGAGACTGAACCGGAGCACACTCCCACCAGGAGCAGTTGATAATTCTTTTATCACCACAACTCTTTCAACAATGACTATTTCCAGATATTTAGATATAAACATATAGGTTGGTTTAAACATTAAATTTCCAGACAGCATCCCTGAGTGGGACAAGTTTTTCTTATCATTCCTCATCTTTCTGTGTCCCTATGATAGACCCAATTGTATCAGTTGTGTCTACCTTTTACTTAGCCTTGTACTTAGGCTGCAGCCAGAGATGATCAGAAGCCCCACATTGGCCCACAGAAAAGGGTCTCTGGTTTCTTTTGGTACCAATACACGCAGTTGCCACCAACACAGAAGCCACTGCTCAGGGTGCAGAATAGGCTGATGCCCCTAAAAGTGCAGAGAGAGACAAGGTGTGGTTGGCTAAGCCAGCAGAGGCTGGAAGAGGAAACGTGCAAAGAGGCAGGTCATAGGATAGAGTCCAGCATTATTTCTTGGATCAGACTTACAGGTTAAATCAGGCTGAAGGGTCTTATCTATCACCCCAACACCTGATCCATCTATGCAGTGAGAGAGAAGACTGAACAGGGGTCCAGGCCACCATACACAGAGGCCCTGATCCCATAGTAGGGGGTCAGACCCAACCTCTCTTTCTTCCCTACTCTCTTCCCAATCACAAGCTCACCAGGCAAAATAATGTCCACCCAGTGACTTCCCACATCCTCACTGAGCCCTGGTACTAGAGCTCAGCTCACACCTAAATGTGGAGGACAGAGATTTGCTTCACTCTTAGGGAAAGCCCAGGCAGGAAGCACCTGCTGAGAGCACACACTGGCTCTGCTCAGGGGAGTCTGTCATGAAAGGTCACAGCTGATGCATCTCCTCTGTGAGTATGGAGCCCAGCTCCAAGAAGTGGCTTCTTTTGGATTTGGAGTTTGTTGTTCAAATTAGAATTATTTTTTTATTTGTCATTAGTTTTACACTCTCATGGTGCATCTAAGTCTTCTCTTTATAAATATAATTCTCATCACTCCCAGACACAAAAAGCTCTTCGAATTTTCCATTTTCTTTGTGCTAACCAACATAGTTTTCTCTGCACCTATGACTTAATTTTGTTATATTTTGCCAGTTATATATCAAAGTTATTTGCTTCAGTAATTCAGGTTCCACATACCAATGAAATCGTATAATAATTACTCTATACTTCTTCATCTTTTTTAGCATAATCAATGCAAGTTACCCCAAAAGCAAAATTACACCAGCTTTAATAAGTGTTCCGTATATGTATATATAAGCATCTATATTTGTTGACTATAGAGTGAAGAGATAGCACAACAGTAAGGCATTTGCCTTGCACGCAGCTGACTCCGTCGACCCGGATTCTATTCCTCCGCCCCTTTCAGAGAGCCCGGCAAGCTACTGAGAGTATCTTGCCCACAGTGCAAAGCCTGGCAAGCTACCTGTGATGTATTCGATATGCCAAACACAGTAACAACAAGTCTCACAATGGAGACATTACTGGGCCCACTGGAGCAAATCCGTGAACAAAAGGAGGACACTGCAGTGCTCAGTGCTCTCTCTCTCTCTGCCTCTCTCTCTGTCTCTCTCTCTGTCTGTCTCTCTCTCTATATATATGGCATATCTTATAAGTATATTATTTGTGAAGAAGAAGGCTGTTTATGCCACACCTGGTTGTGGTCAAAGCTTATATTCAGAATTATATATTCAGGCTTTGTGATCATAAATTATTTCTGGCCACTTTCACTATTGGTGGGAATGCCCAATAGTCCAGGCTTTCTGGAAAACTATAGGGACAGTCCTTCAAAAAATACAAAGTGAACTTCCATATGACCCCACAATACCACTTCTGGGAATATATCCCAAGGATGCAAAAAAGCACAGCAGAAATGACATTTGCACCTATATGTTCATTTCAGTACTGTTCACAATAGCCACAATCTGTAAACAACCCAAGTGCCCTAGAATAGACGACTGGTTAAAGAAACTTTGGTACATCTACACAATGGAATATGATGCAGCTGTCAGGAGAGATGAAGTCATGAACTTTGCTTATAAGTGGATAGACAGGGAATTATCATGCTAAATGAAATGATTCAGAAAGAGCGGGACAGACATAGAAGGACTGCACTCATTTGTGGAGTATAAAACAACATAGCATGAGGCTGACACCTAAAGATACACGTGACAGGTAGATTGTTCCACGGCTGCAAGCCTGCCTCATGAGCAAAGGGGAGAAGGCAGCTGGAATAGAGAAGGGATCACTAAGAAAAAGATGGCTGGAGGAATCGGTCAGAATGGGAGATGTGTGCAGAAAGTAGATAAAGGACCAAACATAATAATATCTCAGGGTATGTATTGCAAACAATAAATGCCCAAAAGTAGAGAGAGAGTATGGGGAATTATGTCTGCCATGGAGGCAGGGGGAGGGTGGTAAAGAGGGGGTATACCGGGAATATTGGCAGTGGGGAATGTGCACTGGTGGAGGGATGGGTGTTTGATCATTGTGTGATTGTAATACAAACATGAAAGCTTGTAGCTATGTCACAGTGATTCAATATATTTTTTAAAAAAGAAATCATGGGTTTTCTCCCCTGATCTGTGTGGGATGGGCACGGAGGCCCAGCTCTGGGCAATAAAGCTGAACGACTCCAATTCCAACCAGGCACAGCCCGCCCCCAAGGGCCTGGGACCCTCTCTGGGCATGCGCAGCTAGCTCCATCTCCTAGAAAGCCGGTTTTCTCCCCTGATTTGCGCAGGACGGGCACGGAGGCCCAGCTCCGGGCAACAAAGCTAAACGGCCCCTCATTCCAACGAGGAGAGGTTGCCAAAACCTCGCCCAGTGCCAGGGACTCTTTGGGGAGCTGCGGATGCTAACGGCCACGAAATATTTTCCCACTACATACGCCATAGGAACCATAAGCTACCTTCTTAGATGGAAACTTCTCTAGTTTAGCCCAGTCACTAGAAACACAGTAGCCAATAACTCACAGTAGCCAATAACTCACACTACATATCAAGCAGAATAGTAACAGTGAACAGGAAGGACTAAAACACACTTGTCACAATGGTAAAGCAATGCAAAAGCCCACCAAACTTTCTTATTGAAGAGTCTAGCCCAGACGACACCAACAGTACTGTAGTGTTAGACAACCTCTCTGACAAGGAATTCAGAAGAGAGCTACTTAGGATGCTTAGGGAACTAAATGAAACAGTGGAAAGCAATGCCAATAGAAGACAAGAGGATTTGAAGGCAGAAATGAGGAAAATGCAATCGGAAATCTCAGATCTGAAAAATCTCGTAGACAAATTGAAAAACTCAGTGGAAGACCTCAGCAGCAGAGTAACAGCTGCTGAGAACAGAATCGGTGTGTTCGAAGATGAAATTCAGAGACTCTCCAGAAAAGAGCAGAGAATGGAAAAGAGACTCACAATTCGGGAACAGATGGCAAGAGAAGAT